TATTGAGGATGAAGAACCTTTGCGAAGTTGTGGCCGACGCGAGAGGGTCGATTCTGACGGTGTCCTGTTGGACACTTGGATGAAGGTGCGACGACGACCTGAGCTGCTACTGCGTGGACTGCCGAGGGTGGTTCGAGCCCGGACGACGTTGCTGCTCGGGCCGGAGGCTGCCCCAGGCCGATGGTTATCGAGGTCGACGGGGGTGTTTTGGCCCGGAGGAGCGTGAGTTTTTCAGCGGAGGTGGTTGTGCATTTGGTTTTTGAGGATACGGTGCTAGTCACAAGATGACCACAGTCACGAATAAGTATGAGAGAGACTCTCAATGAGGGTTTTAATCCTGCAAAGACGGTTGATCCTTTGAACAAACACGAAGGTTTAGCCTGAAGAGCATACATGATAAGAGCATGCACAGAGCAGAGCCGCAGGTTAGTGTTGTAATTAGTTTAGAAGTCTTTGTTTTTTGTTCGTGGGTACTACCCTATGGAACGAAACATGTATATGGTTTGGAATTTTTATGTCATGCGGAGGTGCAAACGACATGCACGACTAGGCTCACTCATGCAACCATTAGTAAGAGCTCTCTAAATGAATTCAGTTTATTTCAAAAATACTATGGCCACTCGCGAACCACGACTATAGGCTGTAAGTGACAATGGTGTGATATACTTGTATACTTTGTTTATTCATTTATTCATTTTTTGCACAAGTTTGAAGGAGTAGCCGGGTTTCTTATCTGGGCAGAAAAGTGGAGGCCCGTGCGTCTCCATAGGCGGCAGATCCTCAGGAGCCAGCTTCGCGCGGATCACAGCACCTTTGTAAGCCGGCTCGGGCACCTGATGGACGTTCGTGCCTAGCACCTGGCAGACCTTCACTAGAAATGATTACGAGCACGAGCCATAGAAACCGGTCTGTATAAACAAATATAGGTGTTTGGAGTACTTGGATAGATCTTCATGTCGAAGGTAGCCGCGGGCGAGGGTGGCTCTGTCCGGCAGTGACGAGTACCGCGACGAGGGTAGCTCTATCCGGCCGCGACGAGGGTTGCTCGGTCAGGCCGTGACGAGGGTGGCTCCGCCCGGCTCCGATGAGGGTTGCTCTGTCAAGCCGTGACGAAGGTCGCTCTGCCTAGCCACGACGAGGGTTGCTCAGTCTGGCCACGACGAGGGTTGCTCTGTCTGTCCGCGACGAGGGTAGCTCCACCCGGCCACAATGAGGGTTGTTCTATTTGTCCTCGACGAGGGTAGCTCCGCCCGGACGCGACGAGGGTAGCTCCGCCCGGACGCGACGAGGGTTGCTCCGCCCGGCCGCGACGAGGGTTGCTCAGTCTGGCCACGACGAGGGTTGCTCTGTCTATCCGCGACGAGGATAGCTCCGCCCGGCCGCGATAGCGTGACGAGGCGTGTCTTTTTTTTTTGCTTGTGGTGCAATGGGGTCCCCACGGACGACACCATTGTTGGGATGTTGTCCTTCGCGCGTATCTTCACCAGGACGGACGAAGGTACCTTCGTAAGAACGAAAGTACCTTCACCGGAGTGAAGGGAAAGCCAGGGAGCCAGTCTCACTCACACAGGAGAAATAGAGTGGGAAGCGAGAGAGCCCCTTCCCCTTTGTCCTTGGTTCTATTTATAGGGGAGGTGGGAAGATATATCTTACTCTCCACCCCTTTTAGTTTATGAATTTATATAAAGATCTTTAAACCTACTAGGCACTGGGCCTTTTTACATAGAGAGGATAGGCACAGCCGTCTCTACCCTCACAGACCTCGGCCATGGCTGCGGCCCGGCAAGATCCTTGCTAGGGCACCCTGCCCACGCGCCCGCCTCGATCTAGCTGGAGGGTCTCTCGTCTCGGGTCGGGGTCAAATTTGGGCAGGAGGATGGGAAGGGAGAAATCAATCGGACGGAAACGAAGAACCGGCAGAGGTGCGGTGCTGCGTTCGGACACGAGAGGAAAAGAGAGAGGTGGAGGTGGACGGGGAAGCGGTGGACGTGTAGCGGAGGGTCTCGTGACGTGTACTACGTCGTGTGGGGTCGCGATTGACTTCCCCGTGAGGCTTTGTCAGTGGGGCCGTGCTGAAGCATGGCCCAGGTAGCAGAGGCATGGCCGCATGGGATTTGCTTCGCAGTACATGCTTGGTTGAAAGGGTAAAAAAGAAATAAAGGACTGCATGAAGATCTTTTCCATAAAGATGGAAATCTCATGGTTTTACCTCAGTCTGTACTCTGTACTCTGTAGTCCGTAGTTCTAAAGTATCTTTAAGACAATGCATGTACTTCAAAAAATTCTGCAACGTGGAGAATTCTGAATCTAAAAATTCTGCGCCCGCTCGGCGACACCCCAGCAGCTGCAGCTGCGGCTATGGTGGATGCGTCCCATTCAACATGTACAACATCTAATCTACTTTTGCAACATTCAAATAAAATACTTGCAGCATACGTCCGAAACAGCCGAAACACTTGCAACATACGTCTGAAACACTTGCAAAACACTAGAAAAAAAACTTAAAAACCACGTAGCCATTGCAAACATCCAGATGAAAAACACTTGCAACATACGTACGAAAACACTTGAAACACTTGCATATATATACAACATCCGGATCTACTTTTGCAATATCCAGATAAAACATTTGAAACATACGTCTGAAACATATGAAATATTTGGAACCTACACTCGAAACAAACGTGTATAGCCATTGCAACATATGCAACATCGCGTACTTTTGCAACATCGATAAAAACACTAACAACATACCTCTGAAACATATAAAACACTTGAAACATACACTTACAAAATACGCTTTCCGCGCAATGTCACCTTGCTGCTTGAACGAATGGAGGCTCATCGTTGTGGAGCTCGCGGCGGTGCGGTTGTCGGTGGCGGCGCAATGAGCTCACGGCGTCGCGGTGCTTCGGCACGAGCAACTCATCGGCAGATAGAGCACGGCCGCGGCAGGAGGCGCGAGTCCAGGCGGGGGCGCGCACAGGTCTCACGCAACTAGCCCTGGGCAAATTTTACCGAGAACCGAACCGAATTTACCGAGAACCGAAGTCTCGGTTCCCTGTTCGATTCTCATTTCCGAGGAACCAAAATTTGTTCGGTAAAATCGGTTCCCCCCCCTCGGTTAACCGAACTAACCGAGGAACCGGCCCATTAGGCAATAAGACCCAGCCCAGCTGTCTTGCACTCTTGCTGAATGATGATGCCTTATTTTAGAAGTTAGCACTCTATTTATTTATTTGTTACTCTGTTTGACTGTTATATTTGTCACTGTGGTTTTGTGTGCAATCATGCTGAAATGCTGTCAAAATTTGCTATTGAACATGCTGTTACATGGATTTTGGGTATTGTTTGGTTTTTCGGTTCTACCCAGAACCGAACCGAAAGAACCGATACCGAACTTGGTTGGTTCCATGTTTTTTGAAGAACTGATCGGTACTGGTTTTCTGAGAAACGAACTTCTTCAAAAACCGAAGAACCGAACGCCCAGGGCTACACGCAGCCCGCCACGTGGAGCTCCGCCCTATCTAGATCTGACCCCGGCAGCAGCCTCTCGGCACTCGCTAGCGGCTCACTCTGGCGGCGATGAGACAGAAGGGTGGGAAACGAAGAGGTGGCTGCAGGGTGCGCAGCGTGGGCTAGGCGGTCCGGACGCACGCCCTGTAGGAAACATTACCGCTTTCGAAATTATCGCCCTATTCGCTTGGCTTATAAGCCGTACTTTTTCAGTCAACGAACAGTATTTTTCTCTCACAACAAATCAGTCAACAGTACTTACAGTCATGGCTTATCAGCCAAGCGAAATACACGGTTGCTACAAAGCTTCAGCCTTCACGTTTTTTTCCAAAGTGTTCTGGAATCTACATAAAATACGCCCATGCGTTCCCATTTCTTCCTTCCTCTTTCCTTTCGAAGGAGGATGCGTTCCAAACTTCCAATCTCCAAACAAGCAAAACGTGAATGTTAGCCGACTCAGGCGGCATTTGTCAAGATTCTCTTCTCTTTTTTTTTCAAAGTCCACACCAAAGCATCACCAGTCGTTCACTAGAACAGGCAAGCGCTGCAAGTTCCGGACATGCAGTACGGCAGGGCGGGTTGGTACCAGGTTGCACTCAGACAAATTCAAGTTTTCCACATGCAGCTCAGCTCCACGCGTAGTCGCAGGCGGTTCGCCCTGTTCACTGAATTTATCAGCCTAGTTTATCAACTATGGAATAGTATTTTTCTCTTATAACAAATAAACTTTAGTCGGCTCATCAACCTGGTTTATCAACCATGAAACAATGTTTGAGTAGGAATAGCTAGAGTCAGCTTTTTATAAGCTAATCTATTTGAATTTGTATCAATTGGAGCCTTTTTTTAGCAGGTAGCAAGTTATTTTTATCTAATCTAAACATGACCTAAGTGCTACAAACACCAAATAAGGCAACATTGTCATTTTCAATAAGATAGAGCATTCGCTCGAAAACAAATTTGTTGCACAAATAGCAGTACTGTCATCCGTTGCTCACCGGTAGTGTGTGCATTGATGCTTTGTCCTGCTCAAAGATCCCCTGAGGTCCATTTCAGAAAGTATACATGCATCAGTATGAAAGCTTGCCATTTCGAACACACAAACTGACGAGTGCCAATTTCACCAGACATCAGTACCGCTCACATAATGATACAATCAAACTATCATCATAATCAAGGCGTCCAATTTTCTTCACGTTGAAAAATCTATTACTGATACCCAGGTTACCAGGGTACCCAGAAGCCAGAAATAGGCAACAAGGTCCGATTTCCTCAAGCAGCAACCGCACAATAATCATTATTGATATGGCATATGGCAACACGAGCATATATACAATCTTCACCACAGGTGGAGATAGATATTATTAAAAGACAGCCATCGTTTTCACTTGCTCATGCTACCTGCTACGTTATGTAATCCTCGGTCCGGTCGCAATGAAACCTTACACCATTAGAAAGATGCATAGAGCCAGCTTCTGCAACCTTCCTCACTTTATTTGCTGCTTGTCTTTGATTATCTTGTGGAGTGCTTTCTTGGCTTCCTCCAGAGTCTCAACCTTGTGAGGGACATCAAATGCTAGCCTCTGAATATTGAACTGCACAGAAGAACACATTCAAGAATTTGGCAAAAAAAAAACAGAATCATCCTTTGTAAAGAATCAATAGCCTCATGGTTGATCATAAGCAATTAAGCATATATTTTACCTGTGCACCCTGACGAACACGTATGTCAATCCCTTTGCTATCTACTGATATAAGAGCAGCATCATCGACCTCCCCTTCTGATGATAAGACCTCTCGAAGTGGTTTAGAGAAAATAGCATTCAACTCCTGCATGAAATGCATCAGAATATTTTTACTGTAGAAACATATGAGTGGTATGTAGGTAGCCAAATGACCCAGCAAACCTGCTGCGATCATTATACCATATAAACAAGGTTTCAGTGATCTGGTATGGTTGGTTACCTTTAAACTTTGCAAGTCACCACCATCAACCGCTATCTTGTCAGGTTGAATAGTTTCATACTCCTTAACATCTATCCATGCAACAGTTCCAAAGCCCCCGATGAAGTATATGTCACTGTAGTTAGTGAGATAGTTTGTCACAACTCCTAATTTACACAAGGCTAATGACAAGCAAGAAACTGTTTTGATGAACAGGGAAGCACATATTTTAAACTACAGAGCTGAACTCAAATGATAAACGGATAGGAAAACACAGGATGATAAAGGAACATAACCAATCAGAAGTCCAGACCTTATGTTGTGCATCCTGTAATAGTAAAAATTTCCCCACTGCTGTGATGCCCACTGCTGATGTTTTGCTACATATTGCTTATGTGCCCATTCCTAATGAACATGAACAATCAGTTCGTTCACCAAAGTTCTAAAACCAAGAATGGAAGTACAAAACATGACCCAAAACTTGATATTAACAGTTCTGAAGATACATCATACATTCCAAATTCAAATCATGTCTCAAGAGCATGACAAAAAAACTAGTCCCTTTACATCCATGGCAAAGTGTTACCTAGCTCAACAGGAGTTACCAATTAGGGGAATTTGATGTTGAAAAAATCTCAGTCCAGAAAAGACTACCAAACAACAGTTGTTTCACAGTAGCATTCAGAAGTCAGAAAGTGACTATCATATGACAAGAAATGCCAGTAATCAACAGAAAACTAATTACCTAACTGATTGAGATATCTAACAGCAAAAGGCAGTCAAAATGAAACCTGTTGTTCAGCTGGCAAAGGGTAAACATCACCAAATATGGTGACTCTCGCGTTTGACAGTCCACTCCATCCAGGCACCTGTGGAGAAGATACACATGGTATTACCAAGAATGGAACTTATGCTCCACAACTCCAGAAGGAAATATTAAGAAACTTCATACCTGGACAACAAGAGTGCATCTTGGGTCAGCGAGTAAGTTCCTCGTATGGATTGCTAAGGGTGACAGTGAAAAAATTGGGTCTGCACAAGACATCAACAGCGACAGTTGGAAACAGTGGTCTAACAGAGCTTAGCATTATTTTCCAAAAACGGCACCAATAAGGAGCTAACTCACGGCCCATTGAATCATTAGCAAAGTCGACAAGTGAACCAAACGGATATCCAGCACGGCGGTGATGCATGCCAGACATGACAGAGCACAGGTGGGCAAACCGCGCCTGGTACACACACATAAGTCAGGCACTCAGGCAGACGAGAGATATGAGATTTTGTTTCAGACAGGAAGCCTCAAGAGCAAGAGGGTAGCTAGCAGAAGCTACCTGTTCCATCAAATTGCGAACGGCCAAAGCTGGCGGAGGTAGACCGTGAGCGGAAGTTGCACTCTGCACACCACCTGATATCGGTGTTCTAAACAGGCCAGCTCTGGATCCACTTGAGTCAGTACTAACGCTGGTTGATGAAGCCTTCTGCGACTTGTCAGCCGTGATCGGTAGGACTCCATTTTGACTAGAATCGCTCTTCAGCTGTCAAAAAACATTTAGTATAATCAACTATGCACAGGAGACCAAAAGGTAAATGAGGCAGAATAAAGTGATGCATATACTGCTCTCTTAGCAATAAACAGGAAGGTAATAAATAAATAACTTCTAGTGAACGAAATCCAGAGACACAAATCGAAAACTTAGAAAATGGAAGTGTTACACCAACAGGCAACAGATAACCCATGACCCGTACTTCTCAATTGACTGGCACATAACGAAATTTTGACCCTCTCATAAACCCTCCTAAACCAGTTGCAGCCACACCAATCTATCCAGCCATCCCAGCATGCACCATACCTCGCATCCAGTCTAGAATCTAACAGAACAGCCTAAAAAAAGCCAATCGCTACCGGATTCATCCCATATCGGCCGCCGCTCCATCTACTCTCACATCAAACAAGTACAACCCGGGAAACCATTGACTGGGCCTTGAGGGAGGCTATATATCATGACAGAAACTGTTACCTTGAGGACGGGAGACCCGTTGGCGGCGGGGGCGGCCTGGGCGTCGTCCTTGCCACTGCCACCGCCGGCGCCGGCCGCGCGGAGGGGACCGCAGCGGCTAGGGCGGAGCGCGAGGGACTGCGCGGCCACGCGGGAAGGCGGGTGGCACACGGGGAGAGTGGAGGAGGATGCGGCGCCCGCGAGAGCCTCCATTGGTTGGTTTGGGGTAGGAGAGAGAAAGAGAGGGAGAGAGGAGGGGTGGAGCGAAAAATCGGCGAGCGATGGAGGAGACAGGAGAGGGAGAGAGAGAGTTCGGCGAGGCGGCTAGAGGACGACGGGGAAAGGGGTTTTGACTCGGGGATTTTTTTGGAGGGCGTGTGGGGGGAGAAAGGGTGACGTGTCTCATCTGCACGCGTTGGATCGAATGGGACCCTGCTTTCCTTTTTTCATCTGCACTCGTTTTCTATATACATAATTTTTTATATGCATTATGTCTAGATACACAATAAAAACAATATAAAAAAAATCAAATATCTTATAATTTAGAATAAGAGAGTACTATATAGTAGAATTCACACTAACTGTTCCTAGGCAGAATTCAACGGGCGCACAACATGCTACGGGGCCTTTTGTGGCGAAAGAGGCAATCGCAAGTACCATGGAAACATCTAACACCACAGTTGATCTAGAATGGAACATCCGGTACAAGTACAGCATCAGTGCGAGCACCTGTCGAATTCACGAAACAATTAGAGGTACAACATCTGTTCTACATTATTCACACACTGGTTATTTAATGGAACAACTGCAATTTGAGGTACAACATATGTTCTACATTATTCACACACTGGTTATTATTCAATGAAGCAACAAAGATTTGAGGTACAACATCTGTTCTAGTTCTACATTATTTGCTACACTGGTTACGCACGTCGGTTCAGAGGGGTTATAGGAGAAATCAATTGGCAGCTTCTCCAACTTTAGAACCAGCACTTGCGCCACCGTTGCCCTGAGATGATACATCCGTTAGGAAAATATGGATGAGTTAGATGGTATTATGAAGAGTTTAAGGGAAAAGGTTTGAACATTCTGAAAAATTATTCAAGGCTAACCTTTACACAGACATAGATGTAGTGGACATCAGGTTTCGGGCCAAGAAGTGCAACTACTGATGTGCTATCGTCATCTAAAGGCAATGGTTTTGTCAGTTCCCATTTGTTCTGATTCGAACTTTTCTCCCATCTTTCTGCAATAACCCCAGTATATTTATAGTTGTAAGCACAAGCATTTTACCATGGCGAAATGAAAAAGGGCTCCTTTGGAATACATTCACGAATCTAAACATTACTTTGGATATGAAAAAGGTCAATGTGATTGGAGCTCTGCAGATACCCGAAGGTGCAGTTAAATTGACCCAATGGTGGGTAACTAACTAACCTATGACATGGAGCTTTACTGTCCAATTTTCCATGTCCTTCAAGAGACGCAAGCGGTAACTTGGATCCCCATAAGTGATCTAAGGCATTACGGGACTCAGAAAATTGTTAAAGAGCACAAAATAATTACATCTTTAAAAAATCAAATAGTTCAGGTTACCAGCGTGTAGACACCATTTTCCTTGAGGATTCTGCATACAGGAGGGGGTAAATAGAAGCTGTAGTAAATCAAGCAATATATATCATGGTTAAATATCAATGTATTCGTTACCTGTTGACCTCCTCTAGCATCTTCGTTGCATTCTCTTGGGAATTTTGGCCACACTGAAATACAAGAAATGCTGTTGAGTATCACACTGGGGAATGTCAAAGCGTCCTGGCAAAAGTTCACTCACCATAAGAGAATCTAGTGTTCCTGCAAATGATAAAAGGGGTTAGAAACTAATGCCATGTTGCGGTATCAATGTACAGATGTTAGCAGTTGCTTCCATAATGCTGTCAAGTACTGCAATGATAATGGTACCTTTGTCAATAACAGCATCAAATGAACCAGACTCAAAATCTGACATGTTCTTTACATCCATCTTCATGTCTTGCCAATCAAGGGAAATAAATGATATCAGATTATGTGGGATATACTGCAGAGGTACTCAAGAACAGAAGGTTGGGAACAAAGATCATACATTTAAGTTGAGGCTTATCGTGGTATTTCTTCTTCATTTGCTCAATTACCACAGAAGATATATCGACGTTGACAACATCTTGATAACCATCATCGATCATGTTTTCACCAAATACTGCGACAATCAAAAGAAGATAAACCACATAAGTAATTCCACTAGACCTGAAGTAATGTAGACATCTTGTGGTTAGTATTTGTGGTTAAATTGATCATAAAAATTAATAAACGAAAGCACATCTATGCTTGCAACTAAAGACAATATGAATCCTCAAGCAAAGCAAGAATTGATAGACATATGATCATGCAACTTCAAAAGGAGTGAGGATGACATTTCTTATTGGTCCACCCAGAAAAAATAATTACGGAACCCAGCCATTTCCATACCTAAGAATGTAAGCTTGTTTTAAACAAAAACCTGGTTGAAGATGAATAGTTCTCAGGTGATACAAGTCATTCAATCCCATATTACTTATACTTTTTTTACTTACTCTTCAACCAATCTCAGGTGAATTAAGTCAATAAATCAATCTAAGATCTCTAACTGCATTCAAAGATCAATGCTATGATTTAAATAATACTACTACAGTTTCGCTTAGAGTGATTTAGGATGAGTTTCCACGAATGTGCGCGTGGCTTCTTTGTTACCGTTTAGAACACTACTGTACCTCTACAATGATACCACTTTCCACTTTATAACAACAAAGTTCACATTTCAGTTACGTGCACTAAAAGGTTCAAATACACAGAATTAATTAGTATGTCCAACAAATGTATAAAATCATAAGCAAACTTGCAGCTTCATGTCATGTGGGTGAAAACCCTAGGTTCGTGAAGTTTGAGAGAAGTGAAGTACAATGCACTAGCTGCACTCTCAGTTTGCGAAATTCACCAGACACACTAGAGACCAAACCTTGCCGGATTTCATGACAATCATGGCACAGGGGCAGGATGGTACCTGGCTCACAGAAATGCAAGGCCTCTCAATGAAATACTTGACTACCATGGTGCCCTCTTTTACTTATATAACCAAAACATTGGCAATGTTTAAAAACAAGCCACACTGAAGGTCTGGTCTGGTACAGAGGGTAAGGAATATACTTATATACAGGATGTACGCGAGTGAATTAGGGCAGACTCATTGTATTTCTTCTTCAATTAAGACATAAGGTGGTCAAATGTCATCCAATCAGACCCTTCCAATAGAAATGGTTAGTGCAGAGTTATTCGAGAACGGAAAGGGTTCCTAGTTCGTACAGGACGGCGACATTGCGCACCACGCTCATCTAACCAACACAGCCACCATCACCGAATCGCACATCCGTGTCTCCGCAGTCACAAGCACTCGGGGATACACGCGACAGCAGAGACCCGGGAAAGGAGGAAAGGAACAATGTATGAACAAGCGCCGCCGACCACTCAGGCCACGGCCTCCCTCCTTCCCCCCGCGAGGAGGATGAGCAATCCAATCCCGCCGGCCCACGGACCGAGGCGCCTGAGAGGAAGAGCGACTCACCGGAGTTGCCGCACCCGACGAGGAGGAGGCGGTGGTGCGGCGCGACGTAGAGGCGGAGCAGCGGCGCGAGGGCCGGGTACTTCTGGTACCAGTCGAAGGGCCCGGCCTCCTTGCGGTAGCGCTCGTCCCAGTACCAGGCCTCGCCGTACGCCTGCGACGCCGCCGCCGCCGCGCCGCCACCCGTCATCCCGCCCGTCGCCGCCGCCGCCGTACTCGGATCTGGGCCGGCCTCCGCCCGGGAATGGCGCCCGCTGTTTCCGGAGCCGGGGCCTAGAGGGTTCCTCCGGAGTCCGCGAGACCGCAACGCGACGGGGTGTGGTCCAGGGGAGGAGGAGGAAGTCAGGAAGCGGTTTTAAAACCGGAGAAGACTGACTCCAGCGAAGTTACCCAAACTCAAAAATAGGTCGTGCACATTGTTTTGGGTAGCAAAACATACTTCAACAGATAACGCAAATCGAGGATGTATTTTACATTCGATCTGATTCGAAACGCAAATAAGCGTCTCGACGAAGAGACGACGTAAATCTGGCTGCCACTCTCCCGCCTCCGCCTCCTCTCTCTCTGCCTTCTTTCCATTTTCTCCCTTCCCTCTCTATTCCTCTCGGGACACACGCCTTCCCGCCTGCCGCCTCGCTTGGTCCTCCCGCCCCCCCACTGCCCACGGGCCGACGCGCCTGCCGGATCGGGGTCGGATCTCGTCAAGCCCTCTTCCTCCTTACCACGGCGGGGAGGTTGACGCCGGGCAATCGCCTCTTCATCGCCACGACGGGTCTGCTTCAAGGCCGGTCTTCGCCTGACTGAACGTTTGTTTTGCTTTTGTTGGCGAGAATTTTGGGCACCTCTACGCCGCCATCTAGGAGCTCGTTGATCTCGGCATCCAAAGGTACAACGACTCATGGATCCGCCGAAAGTCACAGGCAAATCTTTTATTTGATTTTTCGCCGATCTCGGCCAGAGCTTATTTTGAAAAGACAAAGATGGAAAATCGAGTCTTCTTTTGGTCGTCTGAGAAGGGCGGGTTTTGCGTGACTCTTTGCCTATACATTACTCAAATGCTTGGAATAGGTCTCGTGTTTGCGCTTTCCCGTGAGAAAATAAAAATTTATTATAAAAATAGGCGGAAAACGATAAGTGTTGGGCCCTCGCTGCCAAACACGCCGAAAATCGGGGTAGAAACTCTGAACGTTTGTTTTTGCTTTTGTTAGCGAGAAATTTGGTGGTTCATGCTAGCCCAAAGTCACAGGCTAAAATTATTAAGTTATTTTGAAAAACTGGAAAGATGGTGTCTGAGTTTTTCTAGTTTTTGGGTGTGCGTGAGAAAATAAAATTTTATTATAAAAATCAATAATAAAAAGCTAGCTGCCAAAAGCCGAAAGCTAGAGCCAAAAAGGCTACACATCAGACAAACAGGCTCTTAGATCGCATTTGATTTGGATAGTAATTATTCTTAGAATTCAATTATGTCCCATTATTTGTGTTTATTATCAATTCTAAACTGTAAGTTACTCATGGTATTTTTAGATATATAGTTTTTGCTATATACCTATATATATATATTATTGCTAGCCAAGGGCAGCAGGTTGCAGGCCCCACGGCCCCACAGCCCCACGTGTGGTGTGGGCTAACAATTCATCTCGTCGGCAGAAGGTGGCACGAAACCTTCGACTGCACGTGCGGACTGCAAAAGCCGCTGATTCCGAATTTCCGGTTCTGAACGTGTGAGCCGTATTTTTTCAGGAAAAAAGTATTTTTTTACAATAAATTAATAAATAGTATTTTTTTAGCCTGACTAATCGATCAAACGAACGTGCACCTGGGTGAGTGCACAAAACGTCAAAAAGCTCTCGATTGAGCGGCAAAGATGCGATCGATGACGGCCCTGTTTGGACAAATCTGCAGCGAAAATACGTACACGGCCACGGCAAATAATCTCGCGTGTTGACGTGTTGTTGCCTGCGCATTGCATTGAGCTGCACCATTTCTTTTCCGTGCGTTCGTGCTCGTGCGTGCGCGCGTGTTGCTTTTGACAGTTTTGCTTGATACGGCACGCCGAAGCGATCTCACGTGCGTGCGATGCCGTAGTAGCGAAGTGCTTCCTTCGTCCCAAACCGTAAGACATTTAATTTTTTTTTTCCAAGTTTAACCACTCGTCTTATTTAAAAAATATGTGTAAATATAGTCAAATTTAAGTCATTTTTGAAGAATTTTTATTAATAAACCAAACCACGACGAAAGAAATGACATTTTACATAAATTTTTGAATAAGACGAGTGATCAAACTTGGTATAAAAAAGTCAAACGTGTTACAATTTAAGATGAATTGAGTACGTAGCAGTCGCAGCAAGCGAAGCAACATAAAAACACGTACGGTCGTACGCGCCTTCGACGGTGATCGCGTGTTGCGTACGTATACATGCCCACCAGCTTGCTAGTACGCGCCTTCGATCGACCTCGGCGGTAGCACGCTGCACGCCATGCACGCTTGCCTCGATCGTGTCCCGTTGCCCGGCCGTGTGTCACCGTGTCAGGATGAACCGGCCGGCACCCGCCGCCGCTGCCCCGGCGAGTACTAGCGCTAGTCCGGTGAGCACGGGACGGGACGGGAGAGGGAGTACGTCGCTGTCTGCTGGCCGCCTCGATTGATTCTTGATTGCTCCTCCGTCTAACAAAGCCTCGTGTCGATCACCGGCGACGCAGAATTCACGACCAAGCTAACGGGTGCTTGCTACATCTTCTAAATTTTAGTCGCTATTCCATCGGATATTTGACACATGCATAGAGTATTAAATATAAATTATTTATAAAACTAAATACACATATTAAAACTAATTTGCGAGATGAATTTATTAAACCTAATTAGTCCATGATTTGATAATACTGTGCTACAAGAAACATGTGCTAATGACGGATTATTTAGGATTAATAAATTCGTCTCGTGGATTACTAAGGACTTTTATAATTTTTTTTATTATGCTACCGTAAAAATGTGCCCATGAAATATCCGATATGATTATAAACTTTAGAATTACATCAAAACACACCTAATAAGGTCGTGGATTCCCGGTCAAACAAACCTTTATAATTTATTTTTTGTTGATTTTCAAACTTATCACCACCCATATCATAAAACCAAACTACGAACATCTAGTCGACAGTGAGCGAATTTATCATTGTCCCTCTGCCAACCATTTCATCCGATCCGCACCATCCAGATATAGATAAGGTCGTGGCCGTTCTGGTCAAACAAACCTAGTTATAATCAAAAGTGAGCGAATTTATCATTGTCTCTCTGCCAACCATACCAATCATCACAGTGAGCGAATTTATCATTGTCTCTCTGCCAACCATACCAATCATCACAGTGAGCGAATTTATCATTGTCCCTCTGCCAACCATGTCATCCGAACCGCACCATCCGGATATAGATAAGCAGCATGTTTGTTGAGCTTATTTAGCTGATAAATCATGATTAAAAATATTGTTGGTTGATTTAATATATAAGAAAAATAATATTTATTGACTGAATAAGTATAGCTTATAAACCATACAAACGAACATGGTGAAGGTCGTGGCCCTCCTGGTCAAACAAACCTAGTTATAGTCGACAGTGAGCGAATTTATCGTTGTCCCTCTGCCAACCATTTCATCGGATCCGCACCAACGACTAGTAGCTAGATATAGATAAACGACTACTAGTACTCAGTAGCTAGTAGATGACCAGCTTAGCGGCACATTGATGGTGAAAGAGAGGACGATTGCTTGTCCCTCCTGATGTCTCAAATAAAACTGTTAAAAGATAGCATTTCTAGGTCAGAGATAATTATGGACTCATATCAAATACTCCCTCTGTACTTAAATAAATAAGATTCCTAGACAAAAAAAAATTGTCTACAAATAAAAAGGGTTGGCTATTTTTCAGGTGCCTGAAAATACCGTTATGAGCCTTCAGATGAAGATCCAACGGTGCCAGATTATGGTCTAAATTCACACAAAGACAATTATTAACAATATACAATTCAAAGACAATTAGCAATACTATTTTTTCTATAGTAAGGTAATTATAATAAATCAACATAAAAACAATCAACAAGTTACAACTCACATAATAGAAACAAATCTTGAAGCAAGGTTGACGACCACGCACGTCGTCTGAGCGAAAGCCTAATTCCTAATTTCAGATAACTCTTCCTTTGGAAAAGTGACAAATAAATCATCTCTAGGAGGCTGAACGGTCCACTGGCCTATTTATTTTTTTTCGGAATCTATTTATTCATTCAGATACATAGAGAGTATATTACTAAGGAGCCACACTGTGTAAAGAAACATGTACCTCTTAGGTAATAATAATAATAATAATAATAATAATAATAATAATAATAATAATAATAATAATAATAATAATAATAATACAAAGAAAATTAGTAGCATGAAGTAACAAGTTTTCCTGGTCCAGTCACTACTACAAGAAGGATTTGTAGTAACGTCTTTTTTAGGACGGCTCTATATTGAGCCGCCTAGAGCCACCCCTACAAATGGTGTTCAAACAAGCCACCTTATAAATAGACGCCGAGTAGTAAAAAATAAACACTAAAATTTGATTTTTTCAAACGACCTTGGATGGAGAAATGATTAAAATAAAAGTTGTAGATCTCGAAAAATTATCAAACATTTCTGTTCACATCTTTTTCATTTTAAATCATTTACTACTTTAAAATGCTATTTAAAATTTAATTTCAAAATTGTTGAGGAACACTGATTTCTCTTTTAATCTCTGACTAAAACTTGTAACTAGTCTTTCTCCCTTATACTAACTTAAAATTTGATGATTTTTTCCCTAAAAAATTCTAAAATCATGCTCTATCAATTTATTGTGTTCTTAGAGTCACTATTTTGTCCATCTTTCATGTGAATGTGTTTTATCTATTTGAATTTTGAATTTTGAATTTCAAAAAAATAAACTTTAAACATCATTTTGAAATATTAAATGATTTCAGCTTAAAAAGTAATGAACATAAAAGTTGTAGAACTTATCAAGATCTACAACTTTTTTTTTTTTAGTCATTTTTTCATCCGACAAAATGATAGTAACATTGTTCATAAATTTTACATATCCCTCTTATAATTTATGGAACTATAAGTTATAGATCTCAGAAAGTTATAGAACTTTATAGTTGATAATTTTTTATT